GTCATGCTTGAAATCCACTTTTCCACAGGGCAGAAATCAATTTTATCTCTATATGAAAACTTTATTTGCATTTTAATGGACAAGAATAATTCTCATTCCCACCTCTTTTCTTTCTTTAATGTTTGAGAGGTTGGGAGGGAGGGAGGGAGGGGGGAGAGAGAGAGAGAGAGAGAGAGAGAGAGAGAGAGAGAGAGAGAGAATCCCAGGGAGGGTCTGCACTGTCAGCGGGGTCGATCTCACAAACCGTGAGGTCATGACCTGAGAGCCCCACCCTCTGTTTTCTACAATGTACCAATGGCGACCCTGAAGGATCTGCTCCGCAGCCCCTATCACTCCACTGAGAGGCGCTAAGTCATCTCTTGCCATTTCAGTCTTTCACCATATTTTATTACAATTTTCACCCACAAGGTGGGGATGTGCCTTCTTGTGAGGTTATTCTGAGGATTACAGATAGGTCTACACTGCCTGGCACTGAGTGGGGGGCTCAATTAATGGCGCCTTTATTATGATGAAGTCATAGTAGGGTAAGAATTTACTTTTGAGAGCATTCATCCATGTACACCATTATAAGATGGTCCGTTTGGTAGCAAATAGCTCTTTTCTTGTAAACTTTGTCACTTTTGGGTTATGGTTTTATAACTTTAGATCCATCTGCCAATACATTATACACTTGGCTGGGGAATTGGTCCACATTTTCCTCTTGATGGCAGAGCAGTCAGCCCTAAAAGCCCACAAGGAGTGCCTAATTTTGTTACTTCTTCATAAATATCTTCAGTAAATTAATACTGAATCATCAGCAGTATTTTTATTCAGCACTCATCTATGCAATTCATTGCTTACAGAATAAAGCTTTTAATAGCAAAGACACGAAGCTAGATGATAATGGAGGAAGATTTATAGCTGCTGGAACAGATATGTCCCAGAAGTGCCAATTAACAGTCAGTGTCCATCTCAAGGGAGCTCTCTAGTGGTATAATCAATGGCTTGTCCATGTACCTTTTCTGATCAAAGCAATAAAGATATTAATTTTGCAGCTGACACAATGCATTGGAGGATAATAAATATGCTGGATGACACTTAAAGTTCAAAATTATTTCTGTTGTAGATGAAAACCAAAAGACTCGGATGTAAAAGGATAAACATAAGGTCCTGTACTCAGGTTCAGTAAATCAATTACACAAACACGGGATGGGGAGGCTATCAGGACAGCAGTTCATGCGGAAAGATGAAGCAGGTTTAGGTAATCCTGCTAATGGAAAACTCAACATGAATCTATTGTGTGAAGCAGCCACTAAAATAGCTTATATAAATTAAGCTTCATCAATACAAGTAGAGACAATGCCTGAATCACAGGAGGTGATAGTCTGTGTCAGGAAGAACCACAGTTTACATATGGAATTCATAGGGGTGTCAGATTTTAAGAAGGGCATGGAACAGTCTTGAGAAAATCCAGAAGATGCTGAATGGTAAATGTGAAATCTGAAAAATCAACTGATGAGGAACAATCTGAAAGACTGAGAGCGTTGAATTCTGAGAAGAGCATTCCAAGTGGTCGACGTTCATTTTTTTCAAAATTGTAAGTGGCTGATACACAGAATAAAAAGAAGATGCATTCAGTGCTTTTCCAAAGAGAAGATCCAGCACCAGGGCACAGATGTAAGAGGAGGCACATCCCACTTCCCTAATAACTAGAGCTGATGGAAGATGTCACAGGACATGATGTGAACTAGTAAGCTTTCACCTCGGGAAAAATCAGGCAGAGAGCGGATGACCACTGGAAGGGATGTGATGGTGGGGGCTCCTCTATGGGTGGGAAGCAGGGTAAGATGCTGACCAAGGGTCCGGGCAAGTCTACGACTATATAATTGTTGACTAAATAATGGACTTAAATCAGTCTTGAAGGACTAGCTGATTATCGTTTTTGGTTTTGTTCCAACAGAATAAAATCAGTGCTTCCCCACAGAGGGAAGACCCTGGAAGACAGAGGAAGCAGTTGACAGCTAACTGCAGGTCAAGGAGAGAGGCCTTCGAAGAAGCCAGCCCTGCTGACACTTTGATCTCGGACTTCTAGCCTCCAGGACTGGGCGAAATTTCTGTTGGTTAAGCCACCCAGGCTGTGGTATTTTGTTACGGCAGCTCTAGCAAACCAATATTGACTTTTTGTGCCTCCTCTAACTAAAGTGGTTTGGACAAAGTTTATTTGACTAAGCCAGGAAATATTGCTATCTAGGAAGGGTCTTGAAAGAGTTAATAAAAAGCGACTAGTCTCACAACTCAGGATGCCTTTTATGGACCCAGCAATTCCATTTCTGGGTATTAATTTCAAGGAAGCAAGAACACTAACTTGAGAAGACATATGCGCCCCCGTGTTCACTGCAGCATTATTTACAATAGCCAAGATAAAGAAATAACCTAAACGTCCATTGACAGATGAATGGATAAAAAAACAGTGGTATACAAATATTCTGCCATAAAAAAGAATTTTGCCATTTGTGACAACATGAATAGACCTGGAAGTTATTATTCTGAGTGAAATAAGTCAGAGAAAGACAAATACCTTATGACCTCACTTATATGTAGAATCTAAACAAAAAACTGAACTCCAGGACACCTGGGTAGCTTAGTTGGTTCAGCATCCAAATTCGGATCAGGTCATGCACGATCTTGTGGTTAGTGAGTTCAAGCCCCACACCCAGCTCATTGCTGTCAGAGCTGAGCCTGCTTCAGATCCTCTGTCTCCCTCTCTCTCTGCCTCTCCCTCGCATTCTCTCTCTCTCTCAAAAAAAAAAAAAAATATATATATATATATGTATATATATATATATAAATAAAATAAACATGAAAAAAATGAGTTTGGGGCACCTTGGTGGCGCAGTCAGTTAAACATCCTACTCTTGATCTTGGCTCAGGTCATGATCTTGCAGTTCCTGAGTTCGAGCCCCGCATGGGGCTGGGCACTGACAGCACAGAACCTGCCTGGGATTCTGTTTCTCATTCTCTCTGCCCCTCCCCTACTTGTGCTCTTGCTCTCTCCCGCTCAAAATAAATGAATAAACTTAAAGAAAAATTAAAAGAAAAAACTGAGTTTGTATATACAGAGAATAGATGGGTAGTTGCAAGAGGCAAGGTGTGAAGGTTGGGCAAAATGAGTAAAGTGATGAAATGAATAAGTCATGGGAGGTAATTACAACATGGTGGCTATAGTTAATAATACGGTACTGTATATTTGAAAGTCGCTGAGAGTAGGGGCGCCTGGGTGGCTCAGTCAGTTAAGCATCCAACTCCTGATTTCGACTCGAGTTATGATCTCACAGTTTCATGAGTTGAAGCCTCACCTCAGGCTCTGTGCTACAGTGCAGAGCCTGCTTGGGATTCTCTCCCTCCCTCTCTCTCTACCCCTCTGCCACTCACTGTGTCTCTGACTCTATCAAAATAAATAAATAAACTTAAAAAAATTCTTTTAAAAAAAGGAAAGTCGCTGAGAGTAAATTTTTTTTTAATGTTTACTTATTTTTGAGAGACACAGAGACAGAACACGAGTGGGGGAGGGGCATAGAGAGGGAGACACAGAATCCAAAGCAGGCTCCAGGCTCTGAGCTGTTAGCACAGAGCCTGATATGGGGCTCAAACCCACGAACTGTGAGATCGTGACCTGATCACAAAAAACAAATGTGTTACCATGAGATGTTAACTAGAATTATTGTTGTGATCATTTCACAATATCCAGTCATTATGTTGTTCTTCTTAGACTAATGTTATCCACAGCTCAAACAAGGCAAAACAAAACAAAACACAACACAACAGAAAGACTCTTGTGTTTAGACCGTCACTGAGCCAGTGACTCACTCCCATCTGTAGCAATTCCTGCTCAGCCCAATAAGTCTGGGGGAAAACCAGTGCTGCGTGTGCCCAAACCCGAATGTCTGAGGTCACTCTTCACCTCACTTACAAACTCAGTTATCTCAAGCAGGCCTCGTTGCTAGGTGAGATAGCTGCTTTCTGGATCATGTGACAAATTCATGTATTCTATTGTTATTTTCCTCTTTATATTGTTTTATATTTTTCAAATTTTCTGCCTGAACCTTGAACTAAGGAAAGAAGAAATAAAAAATGTAAAAAAAAAAAAATGTTGAAAATGTAATGAAATAAAAAATAAAAAAAGGAAAAAGTAACCTGAGTCATTAAAACAAAGCATGAGTCTTTTCCCTTCAAGTGTTTTGCCAAAAATTAGCAAAAAAAGAGAAAGCTTCGGGGAGCCGGGGTGGCTCATTCAGTTGAGCATCTGACTCTTGATTTCAGCTCAGGTCGTAATCCCAGGGTCATGGGATCGAGCACTGTGTCAGGCTCCACACTAAGCATGGGGCCTGCTTAAGATTCTCTCTCTCTCTCTCTCTCTCTCTCTCTCTCTCTCTCTGCCCCTCTCCTCTGCTCACGCCCAATCTCTCACTCTCAAAAAGGAAGAAAGAAAGAAAGAAAGAAAGAAAGAAAGAAAGAAAGAAAGAAAGAAAGAAAGAAAAAAAGAAAAGGAATGAGAATAAGTTTCAAAACAAATTATCAGGATCACTGTTTACTCAGTAGAAGGTAAGTTCATATTAATAAACCAACTTTTTCAACAATCACTTTTTGAAAAAATTTTTTAAAAACGTTTTTATTTATTTTTGAGAGAGAGAGAGAGAGAGAGAGAGAGACAGAGCACAAGCCTGGGAGGAGCAGAGAGAGAGGGAGACACACAATCCAAAACAGGCTCCAGGCTCTGAGCTGTCAGCACAGAGCCCGACGTGAGGCTCGAACCCACAAACTGTGAGATCGTGACCTGAGCCGAAGTCAGACGCTCAACCGACTGAGTTACCCAGGTGCCCCTCAACAACCACTTTTATGCTTTCTCCATTTTATAGCTCTTCTGCTAGCTTACTCATAATTTGGAAACGGGAGTGGAAGAACATTATGAGAGATCACCTCGTGGAAATATTTGGTGTCATTACAATGACATCATGAATTACCTTCATGTCCACTGATGGGTCACCCAGCAACATTGTCCACTCATACTGGACTATGGCATGGTCGTCTGTGCTCTCACGGCCGTCCAAAACCACTCCATCTGTAGGCAGGTGCAAAACCACATCCCGTCCAGCCTTGCTGAGTGGAGGCTCATCCTTTTCTGTGAAAGAAAATAAATAATTCACAGGAGATGACCGCCTATTTTTTTTTACAATGTATTTAAAGCAGTATCTTGTTTGCTAGAATAGATGTAGTCTAGCAAGCAACTAGTGTGAGAATGTATAGCAACTGAAAGCTATTTTCTTACTGATTTTCATGTATTCTCTTTATATAATAAACAATAAAATAGCAATTTACTAAGAATATGGAATTTAGCTCTAACACATGCCGAAGAGAAGGTGTGGAGAATCAGCTATTAGCAGTAGCTAGGACAAAATTGTGGGTACAAGACAAAGTAGTAGGCCATCCAATCTGGAGTAGCAGTTTTACTCCCTAGAGTCAAAGTTTCATTTAAATCATAAATAATTTAAGTTCAAGGTTCAATTAAATGAATGTTTTTTAAAAAAGGACTTTTGAAACATATCTGAAAAACATCCACCTCTGATATAGATTTTTTTCCTCATCCTCAAGTTTTTAAAATAGGTATAAAGTATTCTATATATAGGAAATAAATTGGGGCGCCTGGGTGGCTCAGTCAGTTAAGTGTCCGAATTTGGCTCAGGTCATAATCTCATGGTTTGTGGGTTTGAGCCCTGCGTCAGGCTCTCTGCTGACAGCTTAGAACCTGAAGTCTGCTTCAGATTCTGTCTCCCTCTCTCTCTGCTCCTCCCCTGCTTGTTCTCTCTCTCTCTCAAAAATAAATAAACATTAAAAAAATTTTTTTAAAGCTAATATTAAATTTGGAAAGTTAAGGCAAGTTCTTCGATTCACACAAAATAAAGCTTAACTTAGCAATTCTCTGGAAAACAATTTTTCATCTAGGAAAATAGAAAACATTCGGTTTCTAACAACTAATTTTTATAACAGAAGCTGGCACACTGAGTTTCTGTATAATAGCAAAACAAATATGCTTACCTTTGATCTGGCATAGTACTAAATAATTTAAGGCTAACTACGTTCACTAACTACTAATCTATAACTGGTAGCTGCTTCAGTTGTGACTGATAGGAGAAGCTGCATACAGAAAACATTTCTAAGTGCAGAATTATGAATATTTTATTGATTTAAGCTTATTAGTAAACTTACTCAAATGTACATATATGTGTGTGTGTGTGTGTGTGTGTGTGTGTGTGTATATATATATATATTCTTTTTTTTTCAGAGAGAGAGAGAGAGAGAGAGAGAGAGAGGGAGAGAACATACCTGTGTGAGTGGGGGAGAGGGGAAGAGGGAGAGAGAATCCTAAGCAGACCCCACATCCAGTGCAGAGTCAATGTAGGTGGATCCCACGACCTTGAGATCATGACCTGAGCCAAAATCAAAGGTAGGACGCTTAACCAACCGAGCCACTCATTCACCCCGATATATTTTAAAGAAACTTAGTAACACTACTGGGAAAAAGTCTATAGGTTCTTATAATATATCTTTTTGGTATCTGCTACTTCCTCCCTACTCCAGGGCCAAAGCTCTGTCCAAATGCTGGCCTGGATTTGTTCCTCCTTAACTTCTGCTGAATGATGTTGCTGAGGCACTGCTCTCTTCCTCCAAAGCCCAGTTGCTTCCTAAGCAAATGTCTAAGAGCCAATTCAGATGTCGCAGGGCCTGAGGTCTGGGGCTAGCAGCAATCCTATTGGTTTCTCACTAGGCAATAACAGGTAGTCACTCTTGACACACTGCAGCTAAAATGACTTTTCTGAAATTCTAATCTGATTGGGTCATTTCCATGCTTAAGAAAAACCCTTCAACAAGTTACCATGACTTTTCAGATGTTCAGAGACCTGCTCGTCCAGTCCTATCTTCTACTCTACTGATCCTCCCAATACCCAGAAACAGAATTTCTGTAAGGGGCGGGCAGCTCTCAGAGCTGTGGCTGTTCTGAATAAGAACGCTGCTGTTCATCTCAAAAAGAGATGACTTTTTTTTATGAGCATGTTTACAGGGCATAAGCACATTTGCTATTGCCAATGGTTACATTTGTCTATTGAGAAGAGTCCCATTTTTATAGTCATTTAAAAGAATGAGGACTAATAACTTAGGTTTAAATAAGCCACACAATCAACCTTTGCCTAAGAAGAAATTTGTTCTGCCTTCTTCCACCTCTGAGCAAAGACCCAGTGTCTTATGTCTTTATTCTGCTTCTCCCAGATAAGGAGAGAGGTGACAATTTCATTACTAATAGGCCATTTTACACAGTGTTACACAGATATTTCTTTTGGTTCTGGAAGTTTCCATTGCTTTCCACACAGTAGTTTATCACTTTATAAATCTGGAAAGCATCTTATAATTTGCAGTAATACCTTATAATTAGCATGAAAATTTATTTTTAAAGTATTGTTTACAAGTAAACAAACTAAACCTATAGGATATAAACAATGAATGCTTTAATATATTTTTAAGCCCTCAAAGATGTAACCACAAAGACTTAAGATGGAAAAATCAGGTAAGTTCTGAAATACCCCACATATTACAAAACTAATTAATTCTACCCCTCCTGGAAGAAAAAAAAAAATCATTGTTTTAGTTGTTCACGTTTCTTTAGGTAAGCTTTAAGATACCATTTATAAGCACAATGAAATCCTCATATCCTCTACATTGATTGCTATTGTAACTGAAATAAGAGAGATACATTTCTTCATCAGTTCAAGTCCAGGAAAGTTACACTGCATAATGCATTTCAAAATAAGCCAGAGCTTATCTACCCAGAAACAGGCCTTAAAAATAAACAAGCGACAATAAGAAGAGGAAAGGAGTGTGCTATCATTTAAAAAAATATTTGACTTGATGGGTTGCCTGGGTGGCTCAGTTGGTTAAGCGTCTGACTTCAGCTCAGGTCATGATCTCGTGGTTCACGAGTTCAAGCCCTGTGTCAGGCTGTGTGCTGACAGCTCAGAGCCTGGAGCCTGCTTCAGATTCTGTGTCTCCCTCTCTCCCTCTGCCACTGCCCAACTCGTGCTCTGTCTCTCTCTCTCTCTCTCTCAAAAATAAATAAAAACATTAAAAAATTTTTAAAAATATTTGACTTGCTGATAAAGAACATGACAAAGGTAAATCTGCATTTTTCATCATCAAAATATAATAAAGCAATGCTAAGTACTCTGGAAGCATTGATTTCTTTCGAAAACCAGACACACTTGGTAAGATCTACAGAGGCGAAATAAGACTCGTACCAATTTTGATGAAGCCTATCAAGGTGGCATTTTATACAGGTAAGAATAATATTATTGTTCAGTTAACTAATCTGATTTACAACACACTGCTGTAAACAGAGCCTTAAGGACAAGGAGGAGGTTCTGGAATCTGGATCCGTACTGTGTGGACACAAATGATATAGCGGAGGTTGAGGAATTAGAAAGGACTCTTGAAGTCAGGATACAGGGAAGAGGCTTAGATACTATGTGTCAAAATCCATGAGGTTGGTTGATTGGTTTTTGTGGTTTCTTTTTTCATTGTGTGTTCTTAATTGTAACACTTCAGGAAAGAATTATTCATAACCCCAATCTGATTATCATCATTTTTAGTGTGTACTGTTATAGTCTTTCTCTATACGAGCTGATGATAATAAGAGGTGCCATTTATTGGGTGGCATAAGTGCTAAGTGCTCGTAAGCCATAATGTCACTCAACTCTCATGAGTCTCTGAGGTAGGTATTATCAGCTGCATCAGACTCAAGAAGAAATGATTTAGAGGCTAAGTTGCCTAAGATGATACAAATGATAAATCTGTCAGTTCTGATGTCTGCCCAGATCTTTCTAAGTATACTGTGGGGGTACCCAAAGTGTATTCCAGTTACAGGAAATGTAAATTTACATCCTGAATTAACCTAACTTATTAATAGGTTCTATTTATTAATATTTACTCATATATTCTATTATTGCCCATGTTACTATATAAACTTCACAGTTGCCATTTTTATTTTTAAAAAATATTTTTAATGTTTATTTATTTTTGAGAGACAGAGAGAGAGAGAGGAAAAGAGAGACAGAGCACGAGTGGGGGAGGGGCAGAAAAAGAGAGGGAGACGCAGAATCCAAAGCAGGCTCCAGGCTCTGAGCTGTCAGCACAGAGCCCGATGCAGGGCTCAAACTCGGAAACAGTGAGATCATGACCTGAGCTGAAGTCAGATGCTTAACTGACTGAGCCATCTATGTGCCCCATCCATTTTGATTTTTAACCTCTCGTAATAGACATCTACTTTGTTATCAATTTTTTTCACCATTATAAATGATGCCACAATAAATATTTTTGCTCCTTTTTCTTTAGCATGGATCACTGTCCTACAAAAACTATTCTAGAAGAACGGATGACTATTTTAATGGTCTCTGCCACATATTTCCTGCGTGACACTTGTATGACGCAGCTCCACATTCACAAGCATCGAGACTTTGGGCAAGTTACTTTCTCTCCCCAAGCCTTCCAGTACACGAGAGATTATAACAGAACCCAGATCTTTGGCTGTTGTAAGGAGAATGAGTTCCTGTGTCTAAGGACCTTATAATAATGCCTAATACCAAACTCAATCAGCAACAAACACAGCTGATGGATTCTGCTATAAATTTGTGCCATCCCATCCCAACCACCCCCTCACCATTTCATGACGTTTTGACTCACCTCACATGGCCTCCCAACAAATTCTCTGTAAGAGCTTTTCTAAACCATTTTCATGCTCCTTTGGCTTCCAACTCTGTATGCTCACAAAAGTCAGAAAAAGGGATGCCTGGGCGGTTCGGTCGGTTAAGCATCTGACTCTTGATTTCGGCCCAGGTCATAATCTCACAGGTGGTAAGATCAAACCCCACATCGGGCTCTGAGCTGACAGTATGGAGCCTGCTTGGGATTCTCTCTCTCCCTTTGTCTCGGCCTCTCCCACAGTCACGCGTGCTCTCTCTCAAAATAAACTTTTTTAAAAAGTCCGAAAAAAAGAGACGATTCAAGAAAGAAAAACGTAGACGTTTCGGAAGCATAAAGAACTTCAAACGGTTAAGCATCTGGGCAGGGCAAACACAGGGCATGTGGGTAGGTAACCTTTGCCCTAGCTGCAGAGAATGAGGGTGCCTTGGGGCCTGAGCTACGCACACCCTTCTAGTTTCCATGTCGCTGGGGATATGAAGTGTGAGCATGTCAGTGTTTTCCAGAATGAGGACCAAACCCTGCAGTCACCTGTATTCACCCCTGACCATCTATATAATTGAATTCCCAAACTCAGAAACTTCTACTTAGTAAACCTAACTTTTTTTTTTTTTTTTTTTTAATTTCCACGAGCATATTCCTTGTTTTCCTTCTATTATCCCCCGGCTTATAAGAAAGCTTCCTGTGGCAATGTTGGTTTTTTTTCCAGATGTGCATTGAGAACAAGGGAAAGGGATTTTGTTTCTTTGCTGCTGGGATTTTTTGGTCTGTGTTTGAGTCAAGAGGAAGGATGTATAACACCATGGGGCAGGCTCAGTGATGGTGGTGGGGGTCCAAGTGAAAGTGCTTCCTGCCTCCACTTCAGGGAGAACACTTTGGTGTTCTTCCCAATGTCTGCCTCAAGGCTGAGCAGTCACAGGGTGACCTTTGATGTCTGCTACCCCAACACGGGTTCTGAGCTTTCTCTGAGGTGCAGGTGGGAAGGGAGGTGGGCCATTGTGGATATGGTTTCCCAGACCCTTGTCTTTGGACCTTCAGGTCTTGGGAGATTCCAGATTTCCAAAGCAGCTGAGGCTACCCCCCCCCCCGCCCCAATCTTGCAATGGTATCATTATGTTATTATAAATCAAAGAGCAACAGAGTGGAATCAAACACACAGTGAACCACACCTGGGCCCAATCAAGGTTTTATTCCCTCAACGGCCTTAATCTCCAACGGCTACAATTTTTCTTGTGCCTTCTGTATATGCCTTGACTCTCGTTCAGAACATGTGCAGGAAGTAAAACTATAGAATGAAAAGCATCATTATTAGCTCTTTTTAAAAAGGGACATGCCTTAAACTTTCTTATTCTCAACTAAAATCAAATCCCTTCCTTTCCCTCTTTACAAAAGGGATCTGTAGTTCATGGGAATCAGTTGGATCCACTTCAAAAATACCTGACACCAAGTTTCCCCTTCCCATTTTTGTCTGATGAAAATCACTACACACGGAATCATGAGTCGTGAGAACCGAGCTAAGAAACGGGTGTGCTATGAGCAAGCTGGCATCTAATTAGATTTTGCTTTTGTAATTTCTTGACACAAACCATGACTTACAAAAAACCTCTGGGCCTAAAATAAACTTTTTTTTTTCCCCCTTCGAGCTTTTCTCCTTTAAATCGAATTTCTGTGACTCCTCTCAGGTCAGCCTCCCTCCCCGAGCCTAGAAAAATTCCAGAAGCAGCCCACGGTGCCCTCTTCTGCCCAATCTACTAAGGTTTCTCAGAAACCATCCATAAGACAAATCACAGCCACTCCTCTGGATGCCCGCGAACTAAAATAACTTGGAACGTAGCTGTTCCGTTTCTCACTTGGCTGTACTGCCTAAGCGGGTCTCCCGGACGCAGCCACCCAACAGGTGCGAGGGCGGCCGCACCGAAGAGGTCTGACCCAGCCGCCTCCCGCGGAGTGCTCACCCATGGGAGGCGAGGCGTCCGGGTCTTCCTGCGCGCCCTGCAGGGCGCGGCTCAGGCTGTAGCTGCTGTAGCCGCGGTGCAGCGCGAACTTGCAAACGCTGCGGCCGCGGGCGGTGCAGTTGAAGAGGTAGCAGCCGAGCGCGGCGGCGGGGGGCGCGGGCCGCCGGGGCAGCTCCACCACGGCCACGGAGCAGCGCGGCTCCGAGCAGCAGGCCGCCACGCACTGCCGCCAGTCCCGCACGGCCGCCGGCGCGGTCAGGAAGCTGGCGCC